CATGTAGCAGAACTGGACTTGGTCGATTGTCAGCACCCAGTTAGCTCAATTGGTAGATAGTCCGTCTTGAGTTCGAAAGGTCGCAGGTTCGAACCCCATGTATTTTTCCGCTTCTGTTACAAACATATATTTTTCCATGTTTAGAAACATGATAGGATATTTATGTTGTCGCACCGTATTGTTTCCCAGGATTTTTTTTCATTTCAATTATTGTAATATTTCAATTGAATTGACCAATGTTTATGTGGTAGCTAGGCAGATGAAATTTGCTCAAAATGCATAAAACTGTATAGATCTTGATTGAGAATACATACCACTCATTTTTATTGCAAAATAAAAAATGCTGCATCATATATATGTGTTCCATGGCCCTATTGGCCTCACCCTAAATCTAATTCCATGGTTATACCACTGTTATAATCCTTAGATGTCCCACACCAGACATCTAACCGTCTATCTGTCAAAATGTCAGGTGTGATGTGACCGATAATCAGTAGCATATGTGTATTAGACATTTGTAACGATTTGTGTCTGGTGTCAGGACCAGAGGAAACTCGGGCTAATCACAGTGGTTCGTTACAAATGTGTTCTGTGACCCATATCGGTATAGCTTATGTGTATTTCAGACAATACTGTAGCTAATGGCGGTGCGTCCAATTACCCAATACTACCCAATACCACCCAATACTACCCAATACCACCCAATACTACCCAATACCTCCCAATACTACCCAATACCCCCCAATACTACCCAATACCTCCCAATACTACCCAATACCCCCCAATACTACCCAATACCTCCCAATACTACCCCATACAACCCAGTTATGAACCAAATACTTCTTTATTTCTGTGAAATATCACCTTTGTAGACGTTATTTACTTCCATCTGCCATATTTTATCGGGAAATATGCTATTTGGTGCCGAAAACATCGCCGAATTGCCGTGACTATGACCCAATACTATCCAATACTACCCCATACGACCCAATTATGAGCCAAATACTTCTTTATTACTGTGAAATATCACATTTCTTGAAGTTATTTACTTCTATGCGTCACATCCTATCTGCGATTTGGTGCAGAAAACATCACCGAAATGCTGTGACTAGGGGTTCGACGATTTACAGGAACGGGCAGAAATCTATTAATTATTATATATACATTAGTGAATATATATATTAGATACATTTAAGTATCATTATCGGGTATAAGATATATTTGATAAAAGAATTGCAATTACATGATACTATATTAATTCTATTCATGTCATAAAATGGTGTTATTAAGATCATATATATATAAATTTAGCAGGAAATATTTAGAAAATTTGAAATTACTTTTCAAAAATGTTAGTTATTCAATTTTGTTAAACATAACAGTATCAATTATATAACAATGCTGGAGAAGAACCTTCCGTTAAATTAGATACTCAAATACTATGAAATTCAAAAAGTATATGGATTGTATATGATTCGAAGTCCTTTCAATTACTTGATTAAACTCCCAGATAGTCTGTTTTGGACAAGCTAGATATTTTTTCCAGATATAGTTCCCTGACCAATCTTATGAAGGGTAGACGAGTAGGTTGTCATTAAGCAATGTAAAAATTAAATAGATTAATAAAAGGAATTACGTTACGCTTCTTATACATCAATCCAGAGACGTATATATTACATTACGTAATATATACGTCTTTGATCACCCGAAAGCAAAATACTAAATGACATGAAAACTTGATTCGACTCCCAGAGATACTGTACACATATATATTTTATTCAACTCGTTGGCCATCTCAAGTAAATGTGATCTCTATAGATACATGGTAGATACCGTGATGTTGCAATTTTATTTAACAAAGTTTATACCAAAACAACGTCGAATTATGATTACCAAATTACGTATGTCGGCTCACAATCTTGCAATAGAAACGGGAAGGTACAGAAATGTTGCAAGGAATAATAGATATTGCAGTAACTGTGACCTAATAGGGAAGATGAATTTCATTTTCTATTTACCTGCCCACGTCATCTAGATCTAAGGAGAAAATATATTAAAAATTAGTACCGGCAAAAACCTTCTGTATTCAAACTTATCGAATTAATAAAAACACACAATATAAAAGAACTGAATTTGTTAGGTAAATTTGTTATTGAAGCTAACAAACGAAAGATTGTTTAACTTATAAGTTTGCTTTACGTAATTTTGTATTACTCAATCGTATCATGTCCATGTTTTGTTCGAACAATCTTTCATGTTTAAGATGGTAAATGCTCAACGTTGATGTTTTTGTTGTTGTTGTTGATGATGATGATGATGATGATGAAAGTTGTAATGATTTCAATAATATCGGTGATTTTGTAAAAAATGTACCAGTTTTAATTGTAGGTCAATTGGTAAAATAATATTTCTTATTTTTTTTTTATATATAATGCATACATTGCTTTTTGAGCCTGTTCAACAAGTTTTTTTCTAGTTGTTATTGAGATTAACTTTAAGTTTCCAAATAGTACAGTAAGTTTCAAATTCACGGAAAGCATTCTGTAGACCTCTAGCTGTTTCTGACATAACAACTGTGTCATCTGCATATAGCAGAATAAATAATTTAACAAATATACCCATGCGTTCTTGAAATAAATTATCAATATACTGGTCAACATTACTTTGCATGAAAAATTCTTCTAAATCATTTAAATATATTGAGAATAAAAATGGGGAGAGATTTTCACCTTGTTTTACCCTGACGTGACATGTGAAAAACTCAGTCATACCATTGCTGGTTTTTACGCAAGATTTAGTGTTTGCATACAGATTTATTATAGCATTAAATATATTTGCTGTGATATTATTCTTTAATAATTTCTTCCATAAACCTACCCTCCAAACAGTTTCAAACGCTTTTCTGAAATCAATGAATGAACAGAATAGCTATATTTTCAGTTGTAGGGTAGCCTTTCCTAAAACAAGCTTGAACATTGGAACAAGAAGTCTATTGTCTACTATTACGGAATTAGATAATCAGTTTTGACCACATCGGCCTTTGGAAAAAAATGAAACTTAAAGCGTTTCACCGTGTTTCTTTCTTCTTTACATATACAATTAATATACAGTATCGTTTTTCTAAAACAGATAAGGCCTATTAATCCAACATATGGACTTCAATATTTATTTACGTAAAACACTTATTTCAATTAACTTATATTTACATATAGAATAATATTTAATTTTCAGATTGATGTCCCTTTTTTGATTTTTTTTTTTTAAGATCGTAGACGTGATGGGATTGTAATCTTCACATTAACACCAATTAATTCACTCGAAATATATTCATGCTATTTATTAAGAGTTGAGTATAAGTTATAAAGTTATTAGAATTTAGGTATCATAATGTCATTTCCAATGTTTCAGGTGTTATGACATCGCAATAACAATGTCATATATATAAATGAGAAAATAACCCAGATACATTTTTATTATATATATATGTAATATATAATTCTCTGAACAACCCTTTTTTATAGAATAAAACAGAGACATAAATTGGAACCTCGGCCTGGCAATTTATATATATATTTAGTCCGATCCTGCCCCGTTCCTGTAATTTCAATTCTTTCATCAAATATACCTTATACCAGATAAGGATAATTAAATATGTACAATAAATATATAAATAAGTCCGATCCTGCCCCGTTTCTGTCCGTTCCTGTAAATTATTGACCGTTCTTGCCCGATACATTTATCAAATGACGTATCTTGTACCCGATAAAAAAAGATATAATAATATAAATATATGTAATTGCAATACTTTTATCAAATATATCTTATACCCGATAATGATACTTAAATGTATCTAATATATATATTCATTAATGTATGGGCCTATATAATAATTAATAGATTTCTGCCCGTTCCTGTAAATCGTCGAACCCCTAGTCACAGCATTTCGGTGATGTTTTCTGCACCAAATCGCATATTTCCAGATAGGATGTGACATATACCTAGAAGTAAATAACTGTGATATTGATATTTCACAGTAATAAAGAAGGATTTGGTTCATAACTGGGTCGTATGGGGTAGTATTGGGTGGTATGGGCACGGACTTAGATCTAATCTAATTCCGTGGTATGGGGTAGTATTGGGTCATAGTCACGGCAATTCGGTGATGTTTTCGGCACCAAATCGCATATTTCCCGATAAAATATGACAGATGGAAGTAAATAACGTCTACAAAGGTGATATTTCACAGTAATAAAGAAGTATTTGGTTCATAACTGGATCGTATGGGGTAGTATTGGGTAGTATTGGGTGGTATTGGGTAGTATTGGGTAGTATTGGGTAATTAGACACACCCGCTAATGGAATATAAGGCAAGGGGACAACAAAAAAACATACAGAAGAATATCACCTTTTTCTGAGCTTTATCCAAAATGTTATGGATTATTGTCCTGTGTTTTGTTGAATATAAATGCTTTTTTCCCTTCTTGTGGTTTAGTCGACAGAATGAACAATATTCAAATTGGCGAAAGGATGTCTTCTCTGGATTCACAGCCATCTTGTTTACCTTACTCGGAACACCTCTCGAAAACATCTGAAATTGGTTTACCTAACTACAATTATGAGCCGTATCGGGAACGAACCGACCGAATAGCCCCTAGTAGTCATGATGATCGTTTAAAGGAAATTAAATATACACATTGAAGATACTGTGTGCATTTCGATGATTCGTAGAACCCAATGAGGATAACATCATTAGTACGACTTATTACGATTTCTAATGGACAGGGCTTAGATGCATCATAAAATGGGCACATCGCCTATACCGAGGTCGACACCATGAATGGTAGAATGAATGACATCGTTTTTCTTCTTTACGATGGATAAAGCATGCGTTGAAAGATTTTCTGTCAAATTTGGAGGAAACACGAGACAACATCGGACCAGTCCTTTCATAAAATCCGTTCAGGTCTCTTCAGGTCCAACGTTTCGGATCCATTCATGTCTTTATAGTACACCTTCCCGTTAATTAAGAAGCGCCCGGAAGACGTAGACGAGCACCTTGCAAATGGAGAATGTAAATATCAACTCAAAGACAACATTGCTTTTGACGTAGAGAATGAAGACAGAGAGTGGATGAGCATTTTGTCGTTATCATTGGTATTTTTTTTTTTATTTCTAACAAACGTTTACAGTGGGCGATGTTAAGAATCGATTCAAATAAGAGAAGATACGTATACTCTGAAATAACGAAATGACTAATATAATCTTCCAATACCTTGACAGGTCCAGTACACTCTGCCGATTGAGCTATATAGCTATAAAGACTATATAGCTATATTCACCTATACATTATAGCTGTATTGAGCTATATTTTCTCAGATTTCAGTTTCCATTAAATTAAAGCAAAGTCGCATTAAACAATAAGGTTTATGGTCATGTTGACTATAAAAAACATACAGTTAGAAGTTTAATTTCATGTAAAATTTCCGATTTTTTTACATCATGATTTTTCTAAAACGAATACTTACATTTAATGTCTTTTGTTATCATCCTAATGATAAAATCGTCTTTTAACAGCGACTTTGTTTCGTTTTCCTTAAAAAAAGAAAATCACATGAAAATAGCTCAAAAGACCTATTTCGGATAGGTCAATACAGCTATTATAGGTCTTTACAGCTATATAGCTCAATCGGCAGAGTGTACTGGACCTGCTTGAGGGTGTGACAGAGAAATCTCCTACCCGAGGGGTGATTTTTTTGGTTGTCTAACCCGAGGCTCTGTCGAGTGTTAGACAGCCAACAAAAATCACCCCGAGGATTGGAGATTTCTCTGTTACACCCTCAAGGAAGGGGTTGATTATTTTTCTCCCATCCTATTATTTCAGTCACAATTCCTACAACAATATTCTACCAAGTTTGTAAACAAAAACAAGGGGGTGACAAGCTGATCTTTCCCGGGTAAAAACAGGAGACATGCCTCTGAAGGGTGGGAGAATATCTCATTTTCATATTTTTAGCTCACCTGGTCTGAAGGACCATGGTGAGCTTATGCCATACCGCAGCGTCCGTCGTCCGTCCGTCTGTCAACTTTTCCTTTAAAACGCTACTTGTCATGAACGACTAAGCAGATTTTGACCAAATTTGGTCAAAAGCATCCTTGGGAGAAGGGGAACAAATTTGTATAAATGGTGGGTCTGGCCCCCCTGGGGGCTGAGGGGCGGGGCCCAATAGGGGAAATATAGCAAATTCTTTAAAATCCTTCTTCTTCTGTAGGAATGGAATGATTTGGTTCCATATTTAGTCTGAAGCATCCTTGGGAGAAGGGGAACCAATTTTGTATAAACCATGGGTGTGGCCCCCCAGGGGCCTGAGGGGCGGGCCCAATAGGGAAAACATAGCAAGTTATTCTTTAAAATCCTTCTTCTTCCGTAGGAATAAAAGGATTTGGTCCATAATAAGTGTGGAGCATCCTTGAGTGAAGGGGAACCAATTTTGTATAAACGGTGGGTCTGGCCTTCCTGGGGGCTGAGGGGCGGAGCCCAATAGGGGAAATATAGCAAATTGTTTAAAATCCTTCTTATTCTGTAGGAATGAAAGGATTTGTTCCATATCTGTCTGAAGCATCCTTGGGTGAAGGGGAACCAATTTTGTATCAATCGTTGGTGTGGCCCCCAAGGGGCCTGAGGGGCGGGGCCCAATAGGGGAAACATAGCAAATTCTTTAAAATCCTTTTTATTCTGTAGGAATGAAAGGATTTGTTCCATATTTGGTCTGAAGCAACCTTGGGCGAAGGGGAACCAATTCTGTATAAACCGTGGGTGTGGCCCCCAAGGGGCCTGAGGGGCAGGGCCCAATAGGGGAAACATAGCAAATTCTTCTTTAAAATCCTTCTTCTTCTGTAGGAATGAAAGGATTTGGTCCATATTTGGTGTGGAGCATCCTTGGGTAAAGGAGAACCAATTTTGTATAAAGGGTGGGTCTGGCCCCCTAGGGGGCTGAGGGGCAGGGCCCAATAGGGGAAATATAGCAAATTCTTTAAAATCCTTTTTCTTCTGTAGGAATAAAACGATTTGTTCCATATTTGTTCTGAAGCATACTTGGGTGAAGGGGAACCAATTTTGCATAAACCGTGGGTTTAGCCCCCCAGGGGCCAGAGAGGCGGGGCCCAATAGGGGAAACATAGCAAATTATAATTTAAAATTCTTCGTCTGTAGGAATGAAAGGATTTGGTCCATATTTGTTCAGAAGCATCCTTGGGTAAAGGAGAACCAATTTTGTATAAACGGTGGGTATGGCCTCCCTGGGGGCTAAGTGGCGGAGCCCAATAGGGGAAATATAGCAAATTCTTTAAAATCCTTCTTCTTCTGTAGGGATGGGATGATTTGGTTCCATATTTTGTCTGAAGCATCCTTGGGAGAAGGGGAACCAATTCTGTATAAACCATGGGTGTGGCCCCCCAGGGGCCTGAGGGGCGGGGCCAAATAGGGAAAACATAGCAAGTTATTCTTTAAAATCCTTCTTCTTCCGTAGGAATAAAAGGATTTGGTCCATAATTAGTGTGGAGCATCCTTGAGTGAAGGGGAACCAATTTTGTATAAACGGTGGGTCTGGCCTTCCTGGGGGCTGAGGGGCGGAGCCCAATAGGGGAAATATAGCAAATTGTTTAAAATCCTTCTTATTCTGTAGGAATGAAAGGATTTGTTCCATATCTGTCTGAAGCATCCTTGGGTGAAGGGGAACCAATTTTGTATCAATCGTTGGTGTGGCCCCCAAGGGGCCTGAGGGGCGGGGCCCAATAGGGGAAACATAGCAAATTCTTTAAAATCCTTTTTATTCTGTAGGAATGAAAGGATTTGTTCCATATTTGGTCTGAAGCAACCTTGGGCGAAGGGGAACCAATTCTGTATAAACCGTGGGTGTGGCCCCCAAGGGGCCTGAGGGGCAGGGCCCAATAGGGGAAACATAGCAAATTCTTCTTTAAAATCCTTCTTCTTCTGTAGGAATGAAAGGATTTGGTCCATATTTGGTGTGGAGCATCCTTGGGTAAAGGAGAACCAATTTTGTATAAAGGGTGGGTCTGGCCCCCTAGGGGGCTGAGGGGCAGGGCCCAATAGGGGAAATATAGCAAATTCTTTAAAATCCTTTTTCTTCTGTAGGAATAAAACGATTTGTTCCATATTTGTTCTGAAGCATACTTGGGTGAAGGGGAACCAATTTTGCATAAACCGTGGGTTTAGCCCCCCAGGGGCCAGAGAGGCGGGGCCCAATAGGGGAAACATAGCAAATTATAATTTAAAATTCTTCGTCTGTAGGAATGAAAGGATTTGGTCCATATTTGTTCAGAAGCATCCTTGGGTAAAGGAGAACCAATTTTGTATAAACGGTGGGTATGGCCTCCCTGGGGGCTAAGTGGCGGAGCCCAATAGGGGAAATATAGCAAATTCTTTAAAATCCTTCTTCTTCTGTAGGGATGGGATGATTTGGTTCCATATTTTGTCTGAAGCATCCTTGGGAGAAGGGGAACCAATTCTGTATAAACCATGGGTGTGGCCCCCCAGGGGCCTGAGGGGCGGGGCCAAATAGGGAAAACATAGCAAGTTATTCTTTAAAATCCTTCTTCTTCCGTAGGAATAAAAGGATTTGGTCCATAATTAGTGTGGAGCATCCTTGAGTGAAGGGGAACCAATTTTGTATAAACGGTGGGTCTGGCCTTCCTGGGGGCTGAGGGGCGGAGCCCAATAGGGGAAATATAGCAAATTGTTTAAAATCCTTCTTATTCTGTAGGAATGAAAGGATTTGTTCCATATCTGTCTGAAGCATCCTTGGGTGAAGGGGAACCAATTTTGTATCAATCGTTGGTGTGGCCCCCAAGGGGCCTGAGGGGCGGGGCCCAATAGGGGAAACATAGCAAATTCTTTAAAATCCTTTTTATTCTGTAGGAATGAAAGGATTTGTTCCATATTTGGTCTGAAGCAACCTTGGGCGAAGGGGAACCAATTCTGTATAAACCGTGGGTGTGGCCCCCAAGGGGCCTGAGGGGCAGGGCCCAATAGGGGAAACATAGCAAATTCTTCTTTAAAATCCTTCTTCTTCTGTAGGAATGAAAGGATTTGGTCCATATTTGGTGTGGAGCATCCTTGGGTAAAGGAGAACCAATTTTGTATAAAGGGTGGGTCTGGCCCCCTAGGGGGCTGAGGGGCAGGGCCCAATAGGGGAAATATAGCAAATTCTTTAAAATCCTTTTTCTTCTGTAGGAATAAAACGATTTGTTCCATATTTGTTCTGAAGCATACTTGGGTGAAGGGGAACCAATTTTGCATAAACCGTGGGTTTAGCCCCCCAGGGGCCAGAGAGGCGGGGCCCAATAGGGGAAACATAGCAAATTATAATTTAAAATTCTTCGTCTGTAGGAATGAAAGGATTTGGTCCATATTTGTTCAGAAGCATCCTTGGGTAAAGGAGAACCAATTTTGTATAAACGGTGGGTATGGCCTCCCTGGGGGCTAAGTGGCGGAGCCCAATAGGGGAAATATAGCAAATTCTTTAAAATCCTTCTTATTCTGTAGGAATGAAAGGATTTGTTCCATATCTGTCTTAAGCATCCTTGGGTGAAGGGGAACCAATTTTGCATAAACCGTGGGTTTAGCCCCCCAGGGGCCAGAGAGGCAGGGACCAATAGGGGAAACATAGCAAATTATTATTTAAAATTCTTCGTCTGTAGGAATGAAAGGATTTGGTCCATATTTGTTCTGAAGCATCCTTGGGTAAAGGAGAACCAATTTTGTATAAACGGTGGGTGTGGCCCCCCTGGGACCTGAGGGGCGGAGCCCAATAGGGGAAATATAGGTAAAACCTTTATAATCCTTCTTCTACCATCAGGGATTAAGGGATATTATCCTAATTTTGTCTGGAGCATCCTTAGTCAAAAGGGACTAAATTTTGTATAAGCAGTGGGTGTGGGTCTCCCAAGGGACAGAAGGGCGGGGCCCAATAGGAGAAATAGACGTTAAACCTTTAAAATCTTTCTTCGACCATCAGGATTATGGGATTTTATTCTTATTTAGTCTGGAGCATTNTGAAGTTTGTTCTCGCTATAACTCAAGTACTGGATGGATCTTTCTGTAATTTCATATGTACTTACAGCACCTACTTCATACA